CCACGGGGTCCCTTGGTGCAGAGCTTGGCTCACCCGCCATCACGATGATCTGCTTTCCGTAAGCCGTCATACTGTGCCCAGATCTTGGTGATGGGGCAGGTCCCATGTTCTGAAAAGAATACCACCGTCGGGTCGTGATACGAAAAGCTGCCAGATCCCCAAGGTCGATTCCCTCATCTGTGCGGCCGCCAAATATGTACATGACATCGTTTACAAGAGCTGCTGCATGCCCTTCTCGCGGCGTAGGGATAAACCCAACGCAATCGAGTTGAGTCCATTGGTTAGCGCGAGGATCATAGCTCCAAACGTCGTTAAACCACTGTAAGCCGTTCGTTCCTCCGAACCTGTATGAGAGTGAGTAAAATATACGTTATCAGGCAAGGGAAAGTAAAAATGCAAGACTTACAAATACAACCGGTCATTGAAGCTTACAATTGTATGGTTCGTTCTGGCCGGGGGTATCTGGCCCGGAGGTGGACCACCATCGTGACTGCTTCGGATTAAAAACTCCCACTTATTCGCTGGATTTTGCAGTTGGTTGAGGTCAAATGCGACCAGGTCGTTGAAAAAGTAACCTTCAACCTGACCACCAAAGACGTAAATCTTGGAGCCCAGGATGTTCAAGGTGTGTCCATAACGCCCAGCAGGCCGGGGCCCAGGAGGTATGGCGCGCGACCACTGCCGAGAGGCTGAAATATAAGATGTTAGGGCACAATTCTTCCAGCATGGGTCATAACGTCAGCACGTACAGGTGTTCAGTAAATAAAGTGTGTCGTCCAGAGTATCGGCCTCGTCCACTTTTGTATCACCGCCAAATACAATGAAAGCATTACCGACCAGTAAACTCGCATGACCGACTCTGGGACCGGGCCCCTCCGACACAGTGGCAATTGGGAAGCATGAGAGATCTCCCCCGCCACTTTCAATCACCCAGAGATCTCCTTTGACAGTTGATCCGTCTATCAAACCACCCATCATATATATATCTCCTTTGTTCGAAGCAACAGCATTTATAGCTGCGCCATAACGGGGAAATGGATTCGTCTGCGGCGTGTCGAAATTTAAGCGACGCTGTGACCATGGGTACAATGAAGCACCGGGGCTCGTATTGGGAGTATTGCTGTTCATCGATTGTTGCGGCGGCCGTTGGACCTAGATTTGATTAGCCATGCTGCATGGGGTCGAGAGGCATTGTCTTGCGACCAGCGAAAGGCGTTAACAAGAGGTCAAGGGAGCCGGGGAGTACCAACCTGCGACTCGGATTCGGCTCTTTGTCGCAACCGCTGCTGTTCCGGGCTGTTGATACTGCTCACCGAATTCAGAGAATTATTGTAGCTGCTGCTGGGGGTCGGCGTCTGCGAATTGCTTCCCTCCCGCTCTTTTATTCCATTGGGCGCCGCCGGTGCATGTGTTGACGCTCCTTCGGAGGTGTGGAGGCTTCTGTTTGCTGGAGGAAGGGCAGTATTTTGTTGATTCTTTTTCGATTTGAACAAGAATGCCATCGTGACAATTGAATCGTAAACGGTCGTTCAGAGTACAGGGTTGTAGATTAACGGCACTGGGAAAGGCAGCGCTGAAAGCCAAGTAAGGCCGCTTTGTCACGAGTCGAACAATTCTCAGTAATACAATGGCAGAATCAAATTAAACAGGCCAAAAACAATCAGCAGGAAAAAAACAAAAAGACCAGGAAAACAACGAGGGCACCAGGCTGTAGAAGGTCTAAAGACAGCGAACGACGGAACCCAGCCGGAATTCGATCAGGTCTGGATACGTGCCTTCCAAATGTTCTGGGCGGTGGTCAGAGCGTTAAGAGGAACAATGGAACAGGTCCCATCCAAGCCACGGAAAACCCTCAGAAGTCGCTCAGCGTCTTGGAGCAAAGGGCGACAATGTTCCTTCTATTCCCAAAGCGAACCTTCGATTGCGACTCCGGGGGAGCATGAGCGACTTATACAGGAGACAAGGTAAACAAGGGCGGGACAAGTGGAAAAAAAAGAAAAGCCCTCAAGAAGGGAAAGAAAAGGAGAAAGAAGACAAGAGAAAAATAAAGAGGCGAGTATGGGAGGAAAACGGGCCCTGGGACATGGATATTGGAGAAGAAGAAAGAGGGAGAGTGAGAGACAGGAATAATGCGAGGCCCCGGCGTTTCAAAGTTCCCTAACCAGCGTTAATTAGATAATTATTTTGAATTTCTTTTAAGAAATGTTGTTGATCCAAACAGTGACATTACTTCAAGTTCCTAGTTAGGGGTCACCGCCTTTGGGGTAAGGTAATACTGTTTGTTACAGTTGTACAGTTAAAAGGTGGTCAGCAGAGAATCTGATACATAATTAGACTAGCTGCTAATTTAACGGTAGGTTGGTCACATTATCATGCATAATTTTCTTACAGGGAGGAGGAACTTGGATCTACTACTAAATATTCTCAATGAGCTTCTGGAGTTCAATCTCCATAACAGTCTATTGCTAGTACTATCCATATACTCCATATGGGGTCACGACTCGGGTGTATTCTATCCACGTAACTGCCGCAGTATGATGTTTTGAACTGATTTTAATTCAGGTCAAACCCACAATACTAGGTACAAAATCTTAATGAACATGTGCCGACTAGCAAGAATAGCCTTAGCACTATCAGAGTGGTCCCCGTACTTTGCCTTTTCTTCCTATTTTCTTCTCTCGTACTGTTTACTTTATTTTTTATTTTGATCTTCTTTGTTATACTCGTAGCTGCATATTTGTCTTTTCCTCTTATCCAGCCCATGATGATCATGATACTCAGTGGCTCTATCCCATTCTGTTGACAATACAAGGAATCGGTAAATGCATCCTTCCGAGGTAGCCAATATAGAAGTCCCGCGGTTTCCAGGTTGAGGTCGTATAATTACGATGTTCTCTGTTTATTCCCATTTTGATTGATGTAGATTTACCATTGGTTGAGGTCGTGTACCTTACAGGTAACAGTATGTATGATCGATGCAGGAACGAAACATCATCATCAACATCTCCATGTACCATCGTTGTCGAACCTTTGTCATGCGGACCGATTTTCCAGCCATCATCTACTATGTTTGAGCAACAAGTTGCTCGCTCAAGTCTCCGTCTACATCGATCAAGTGTCGACATATGAGGCTGATCCCAGCTCAACTTCTCTCATTACCCCTTGTAATTTTTATTGATTTTTTGCTTGCTTGCTTGCTTTCTTTTTCTTTCGGCTAAACGATGAGAGGTGGTAAATGGTGCCAAAAAGACTGGTGATGGTCGGTTGGCTAGCGACCAATGGATCTAGCTTGCCCCTAAACTTAGTACCTATACACGACTAAGTCAGGGACGGTGCCAGAAAAGGGCGGAGCCAGGGGCTAAAAGAGCCGACAAACCTTCTCAAAAGGGGGGCTGGTCAGGTTCGATCCAGAAGTTCTTGGTCAAACTCAAGCCGCACTAAAACTCGGTGGAGGGGAAACGTTTAAATCAATGAGCCTATCAGGACCTTGGAGATTCGCTTAGCTGGCGAAGGAGGGATGGAGAAGCGCAAGTCACTGGCTCGCGGCCTGGCCCATTACCAACCCGCTTCATCGCTCATCCCAATGGAACTCCATCCCTTTGTTTTTTAACTGGTTATCCTGAAGCTCCATTTCATGTATGGTTCCACATATGGAGTACAATGCAACTGACCGGAATGAACATTTTTTTTTGTGTCAGGTTCTGTTCTTTATCTATGGCCTCGTTAAAATGGACTCGTCGTATTAGTGAATATCCGCCACATCGTACGGATTGGCTGGTCACTTTTTCACGAGTCACGGGTAGCGCGGGATGAAATCCTGGGAATGTGATCCATGCATCGACAGAGGAATCACCTCATGTTGACAACTTGACAGTACGGAGTATATCTCCCAAGGTACACCCGCCTTGAGAAAACCCTAAGTGGGATTAAGTTGCTGGTTGTTTTATACCATAATCTCCTATGACCCTGGCAACGCATTCATCCGTACCTTAATCTCGGTAGGGTTTGAACTTTGAACAGCATGAGTATTCAGAGTTTAATCTAGTAGGGATATGTTTGTTTGTTTGTATATGATAATCAAAGCATCGCTCGGGATTCTCCTGAATGATACCTCGTAGGTTGTTCCATCTTTACTTGTCTTGGTCCAGTGTGATCTCAGCGTACCACGCTGGAGACTTCCATGGATGAATCCAGGTGGTATTTCCTAGTCCCAGTGTTGTATTGTAGCATATCAGGATCGTCAATAATGCCAAGCCAAACAAATACTCTTATTTTTCGTGCTGGTTTGGGAGGAGACATTACATGCACGTGGTGCCTGCTCTTCGAAATGTGCTGCAGGGTCTAGATAGTTTTACTTAGTATAGTTAGACTGCTATTGTTTATACATCCTCCCATCGCAGTTTAGTAAGAGATGTTATCAGAGGCAGCCACAAAAGTGTGCTGAATGCTCTGTCTTCGTACAACGAGGTAAGATGAAATAGATGAAGACGTTTCTACATATTTGAACAACTCAATGACTTGTATGTAATAACTAAAGGAATTCTGCCTGATGTAATACTACGGAGAGAGCGGTTTTCGGCGCTATAGATATTCCGATCGCTCTGTGCCAAGACATTGCGGCTAAAGCTCATGAACCTCACTGTTACCAAAAAAGACATCGACAACCTATAACTTTTGAAGCTGTAGGCTTGGGAGAGAGAGTTTGTTATCTTTGGCATCAAGGAGTAGGAGAAATACCCTTTTTTTCTCCGTTCCTTCCGCTGAGGAGCCAATCCCAAACCCTCTCGCAACAATAAGCGTCGGGTTACTGACCGCGGAAGGCTACAGGTTAGGGACGATATCCCGCTGCTCTTTGTGCATGCCCCGTGGCATGATAGTTGATAAGGTAAGAGCACACATGTGCATCTGCCCCACAATCAGGTACATCGAATGGTCATAATTTATCATATCCACAACTTAATTGTCAACGAACTTCTGCTGAAACTCCGCTCTTTCTAGACTTTGGCCATCCGAGGAACTGGCACGCTTTCACGTCCCTGCTAGAACACGATGATATTTGCATAATGAAGGATCCCAATTTAACCACGGAACAGAAAACCACTATGGAGCCCCAAGAAGCGAGCGGTCACGCCGAACCCCGAAAGAACACCACTAAATCTGTCCGCGTAGCCTTCGGTCCGGACCTGGAAACGCATATCCCTCCACGCGATAAGTCCCCCGCGCCTGGACCAGGGCACCACAGATCGTTTACTACCGTGGAGCGGAGGCACCCCCTTGTAATCACTCCTGACAGACCGACGAGTTCGGCAGGTGAAGGCCCAGCTGTCATAGAAGATAGCACTCGGTTGATATCTGATCGGGCATCGGATTCGGCACGGCCGTCGCCTTTGAAACGGGCTAAAAGTGACTATGGACCAAGACTGGGGCTTGACAAGTCTGCTGCTGGAGAGGACGAAGAGGATTTTGCCATGCGCCATGGATGGCAGGAAGAGTACACTTCGAGCGAATACCTCAAGATCCTACACTCGGTAAGCAGAACAGCGATGTGCTGCCTTAACGGAGTATCCTCTGATAACCCTAGAATTTCTACATGTATTTCACGGAAAAACGCCATGAGACAAACGGCATGCCGAGAGATCCCGTGGGAAGCTGGCCCAGCCAGGACTGGCGTATGAAGGACCGCCTGAAAACCGTTTCTGCTGCCTTGGCCATATGCTTGAACATTGGGGTTGATCCCCCGGACGTGGTCAAGACAAACCCTACAGCTAAGCTCGAATGTTGGGTTGACCCAACATCCACTACTGGTGGCGGGCAGACCAAGATAATGGAGCAGATTGGAAAAAAGCTACAGGAACAATATGAAACACTTAGCTTAAGAACTAGGTACAAGCAATATCTCGACCCATCCGTTGACGAGACGAAAAAGTTTTGCATATCACTACGTCGTAACGCCAAAGACGAGCGAGTTCTTTTCCATTATAACGGTCATGGTGTCCCTTTACCCACCCAGTCTGGCGAAATATGGGTCTTCAACAAAAATTATACTCAATACATCCCGGTGTCCTTGTATGATTTGCAGTCCTGGCTTGCAGGCCCCAGCCTTTTCGTTTTCGACGTATCGCATGCTGGGAATATTGTCCAGAATTTCCACACGTTTGTTGAGAAACATGAAAAAGAGAACATCGAAGCAAAGAAGCGGGATCCTAATGTGATCACCCAAAACTATGGGGATTGCATCATTCTGGCCGCGTGCCAGAAGAGCGAGTCGCTTCCAACCAACCCCGACCTCCCCGCAGATCTTTTCACTTGTTGTTTGACGACGCCCATTGAGATCGCCCTGAGATACTTCATCCTCCAGAACCCTCTGCAGAGTAACATCTCCATTGATGATTTCCGAGTCCCGGGTCGCTTGCAGGACCGCAGGAGCCCTCTTGGAGAATTAAACTGGATTTTCACTGCTATTACTGACACCATCGCGTGGAATACCTTGCCACGAGCTCTCTTTAAGAAGCTGTTCCGTCAAGATTTAATGGTAGCGGCCCTCTTTAGAAATTTCCTACTTAGCGAACGGATAATGCGCACATATAAGTGTCACCCAATATCGTCGCCTGAACTTCCAGAGACGCATCATCATCCTCTGTGGAAAAGCTGGGATCTAGCAGTTGAAATGGTTCTGGCTCAGCTTCCTGCGCTCATTGATCATGAAGAAGGCCGTAGACAATATGAATATCAGCACTCGACCTTTTTCGCTGAGCAGCTTACTGCCTTTGAGGTGTACTTGTCATCTGGACCGACGGAGAAAAACCCGCCGGATCAGCTACCTATTGTCCTGCAAGTCCTTTTGAGTCAGGCTCACCGGTTGAGAGCCTTGATCTTACTCAGTAAATTCCTGGATTTGGGACCCTGGGCCGTCCATCTGGCTTTGAGCATAGGTATCTTCCCTTACGTCGTCAAGCTCCTCCAGTCAGCAGCCCAGGAGCTGAAGCCTGTTATGGTTTTCATATGGGCAAGGATCATGGCGGTCGACCATACAGTCCAGAATGATTTGCTAAAGGACAACGGAATTCACTATTTCATCTCGATTCTCAACCCGTCATCACCCATACCTGTCGGAAATGCTAGTGAACATCGGGCCATGTGTGCTTTCATAGTGTCGATATTTTGCAAGAATTATCCCCAGGGCCAGAATGTGTGCCTTTCCGCAGAACTTTTTGACTCTTGCTTGAGGCATCTGATGGATGTTGAAAATCCTTTGCTGCGCCAATGGTCATGTCTTTGCATTAGCATGCTTTGGTCTGATTTCCCTGAGGCAAAGTGGATGGGAATTCGATGCGCGGCACCTGCAAGACTCTGCGAGCTCAATTTTGATCCTGTTCCGGAGGTCCGAGCCGCAATGTTGCATGCCGTGACAACATTTTTGGGTATTCCCGATCTCACAGATCAAGTGGCCCAGATCGAAGAATCATTGGCCATGGCCGTGTTACCAATGGCATCCGATGGTAGTGTACTTGTTCGAAAAGAACTTCTGGTGTTCTTCTCGACTTTCGTGAGACGCTATCAAAACAAATTCCTAGTTGCCGCATACGAAGAGCTACAGGATGAGAAGCAGAGCCTTCTCTCCAAAGTTGAGCAACTGACACCTAAAGGTCATTCCACGGAGGATGCACCGAATGGTTCCGCAAATGGCCCGCTTTCGAGCTACAAGACACAAAAATTGTCTCGTAATTCTACTTTTGGCACTATTTGGAAACAGCTCCTTATCCTTTCTGTTGACCCGCATCCTGACATCGCACAGGATGCAGCTATAATCGTTGATCACATTCATTTGTCCCTTGTGCAATCCCCCATGGCATCGCTAACTGAGAAAATTCGACAAGAAATAATGGACCTCTCAAATCGAGTGGCCCAGAAGACGCAAGTCCGGGAACGACTAGAGTCGAAGAAGACGGCACCACCACCGACTCCTCCGTCGGTTGCTCCGCCAAAGCAGGAGGGCTATCTTTCGCTGAGTTTGAAGCGGACTGCTAGTGTCGCGGCGTCGCTAAAAAACCTTGCCTTTGGAGGTTCATCAGCAGAGCCGCAGTCGTCGCAACTTTCGGCCTCGGATAAGAGTCGCATGCCATAACGCCACGAGGACGAGCCCCCCGGAATGGACCCGGCCCCCCGAAGTTAACGACCAAGTTGCCCCTGCGACAGCCTACCACCAAGCTCCAACTCCAACATCCCGCGGTTTCGAACCCAAGGCCCCATCAATCCCCCCTACCGTCCCTTTGATGAGCAGTCCTAGATTGGTCCACAGAGGTAATCCCAGAATCTCTCGCTTTGATATGCAAGCAATACAACCAAGATTATAAACAGTTTCTCACCCTTATTCAGTATTTCCGGGAGCCCCAGATGAAACCCAATGAGCCCGATGAACCCGGTAGCGCGGACTACAACGAACGCCTCTGGAGACGAAGCCGCAACGAAAAGATTATCACAGAGACGCAGCCCCTGAAGAGTAAAGCCGGCAGTAGCCGATGGGATAATTCCATCGCCCTTCTTTCTAACAGCAGTCAGCCCCTGAAGATGTGCTTTCATCAGTTCGAGGATCATATCGCCGTTGCGGATGACAAAGATACTATTGCGTAAGTCTGGTGAACTTTGATGTCGTGATTGATACTGACAATCTCTTCTTTCCCAATCAGGATCTGGGACTGGCAAAGCCACAAACGTCTCAATCGGTTCTCTAACGGAAATCCACCAGGGTCAAAGATCAACGAAGTCCGTTACATTAATGAAGATGATCAGGCACTTCTGATGACAGGTTCTTCTGATGGAGTTTTGAAGGTGTTCAGGAATTACGAGTCCACAAGTGATGTCGAGATCGTGACAGCTTTCAGAGCTCTGCCAGAGCTTATTCCTAGTAACCGAAACGCTGGGCTTGTTCTCGACTGGCAACAAGGCCAGGGTAAAGCGCTAGTCGCAGGAGATGTGAAAGTCATACGAGTATGGAATGCTGCGACTGAAGTTTGCACCAATGTAGGTCTCGATGTTAGACATTGTTTATTGGGGTGAATGCTGACCTTACATGTTATAGGACATTCCTGCTCGCTCAGGATCATGCATCACTTCTCTGACTTCCGATCAAGTTGCGGGTAATATCTTCGTAGCTGGCTTCGGTGACGGGGCAGTCAGAGTATTCGATCAACGTATCAAGCCCACGACTTCTATGGTTAAAGTATGGCGCGAGCACAAACAGTGGATTACCAATGTCCACATGCAACGGGGTGGTTTGAGAGAGCTGGTGTCTGGTAGTCGGAACGGTGAGATCCGACTTTGGGACCTTCGGATGGATAATCCAATCTCGACGCTGTATGCCACTAAAGATACCTTACGAACGTTGAGCGTTCATGAACACGCTCCAGTCTTCATGGTGTATGTGATATACGTGCTGACTTACTTTTGAGTGGATGGCGGACTTGGCTAACTTGATACAATTGCAGCGGCACCAACCGCCATGAAGTCAAGACATTCAACGTTGACGGCAGCTATCTGTCGACATTCGAGCCTTACTCGAGTTTCCTCCACCATAACCGCTCTTCTCCGATCGCAAGCACCGCATTCCATCCTCACCGCACTGTTCTCGCCTGCGCTGCTCTTAATGATAACCACATCAATCTGGTTTCCTGCTAGGTCTGACCTGACCTATTCTTACAACTAATTTTGTTTCATTTCCTGGTGATCTATATCTTATCCCTTTCTTAATCTGCTATATCTCAACAGACATACTATACAGCAGAGACGGCGCTTTCGGTCATGATGGTTTCACTCCAGGTTTCTTTCTTACACTCGGCACGGTTGTCTGATGACCCTTCTGATTTATGGCGTAAGACGGAAGTTTGCAACTTAGCAATCTGGCGCTAGGGCTAATGTTTTCTTGTATTATTGTTTTAATCCTTTTGCTATCTTGTTTGCCTTCTTGTCTCCAGTTTAATCTGCTATGATCGTATGTATATGGATGGAACCTAAACAATAGCGAACATGCAGAAAGCATAGCTTAATTCCACTAGGCAGCTATTCTCGTATTTACTCTTTCTTCTACGGCGATGACATCAGCTCCGTGGTTAGAACTGATGTTGAAAGTTGGAACTGATGAGTATGGCTACAATTCATTTCTTCACGAAACTACTGCGCTTAGTACTCCGTGTTCCCAGTAGTTCTTTAAGTAATGGGCGAGCCACCTGGCCAGCGAGAGCATCTCTCCCTAGTACTGATGGTTTCTCTTGAATGGCCATTTCCCCAGTATAGCCCTGGATCGTAGGAGACATACACGGTGATGACCATGCCAGAGTGGTGGTGACAGTTCCACCGCGATCTTTTTCACACCCTGCCCTATTTTATCGGCTTTAAAGAGGAAACATGTGGATTGTTGGGTGCCTACAGATACTGCAGAAACGGTGACTTATAGACTTTCCTCTAGCAATAAACAAGCGCATTGTACCAATCACCTCCTCTCTAGATATGTCTATGTAGAGAATAATTTACTGAATGGTTATTAATATTGCATAAAATACCCTTACCTAGAAAGACCTGGACCCTCTTTCAACAACCTAGGATAGATATATTCCGACAAAAGGAAAAGATCTGATAACGTCCTTCTATACATTCTAAACAGAGACAAGTGATACCCACCACTCCTAGGAATGAAATTAAAAATAAGAAGTACATTGACTCTATCCACGACCTTCATAGATACCGTCGACGTTATCGATAAAGTGCTAGTGAGGTTCCCCATCCTCGGCATCCCTCATCAGCTATCTTTTACCCACCGATCCACACTGTGTATTGAATCAGTGTACCCAGTGTCTCTAAATTACCTCATGAGGATCCAGGCTTCTTGGCCGGTGATAGTAGTTCTCTGAGAAGTACTTAGGATTTGGGAGATGACCAGCGTGCCTGACTCTTTCGCCGTTCTGGTCTAAAAGTGAAAAGCGTATGTTAGCGGCGCCAACAGCCGATGGTAGTCCCTCAAGGGTCGACCACGCCAGGTGCTAGCAAGGTTTTCCATATTATCGTATTCGAGTGTAGCAGAGTGCGAATCCCTTCTTTCAATGCCTTGGGTGAGATTGCCACGGAACTCGACATTGTGGCCATCGATAATCTCACGGCTATTGGAGGCACTGGGAATTGTACCTGTGACGGGGGGCATCTAGATAGATAATTAGAACAAGGCTGGGAATCGAGGGAAATAGTGGTGTTTTGGGATGTCTTACTTTTGGTGCTGAGAATTGATGTTTGTTGCAGTATGCGAGGGAAAAGAGTCGAGTGGATTGTTCAGATTTTTGCTCACTTGTCAGGTCTGGTGGTTGTATTTCAAGCGAAATGGGGAGATTGTCTACCTGTGTATAGCTCAGGTCTCAGCTCATTTCAATCAAGAGAGGGTGGGCAGCATTCGTTCTTTCTGCGGTCCATTATGTGTTAGTTTCTAGCAGTGGTGGGTGCTCTATTTGTACGGCCACCTGTGGAGACCACCTACTTTGCATCCATCTGGACGAATACTGTATAGGTGTGTTGGCCTTTAAGTATCGCAATATACGGTTCACCTCTGTGTTATGTGCTTGCATCATAATGGCCTGGAAGAGACAGTAACCCTGAGAGGTAAAGTCAGTTATATGCCACTCCTGTTTGCTTTTACTGAAATCAACCCCGAGTATGAATGATATACGGAGAGGGAGCGAGTCTGTTTTTGCAGAATAGAGTTTCCAAGTATTGTATATTTTTGATCTACTATGGATCAGACTGTAAAGTATTATGCTTATGACTTTCTCTAAGACTCAGCAGAAACTTTAGCCGTTGCAACACCTTTCCTTCGCCCATGCCTCGTACTCTTGAGTAAAACATGCTACTTACTCACAATGACACTATCAGTAAGGAGTCACTCGCTCTGTCACGTAGAGAAGATGCTCGTTCCAGACAGGGACGTTTCTGAGACCGTGCCCTATGCTTATGTGGGCATGGCAGTGCTACGTTGTATTAGTCAACTGTACGAATGCTGGAATATGAGGGCTCTGGATAGATAACTTACTCCGTGTACTCCTTCTGCGGGTCTCCAACCGACCCCGAGACAATCACTCCTACCTGCACACTCCTTCATACACGCAATGAGGGAGGTGCGATACAGCCATTGTTCCTCACGAGCGCCAACAGTGCGCACACCACACTTTTTCTTGAATTCCTTTCCGTCGATGACGAATGTGTCTTGGGAGCAACTAGAACACATGGTCACCCAGCTGTTCGCTTCGCAGTTCGGATCTATCACCGGGGCGGGTTTTGGCGCGGGCACGTTTGCCTGGCACTGGGTCAACTGGGCCTGGAGATCCGCTTTGTCCTTTTCGCATTGACTTGCTGCGGTTGCTGCTTGCTGGCGAAGCTGATCTTTGTCAGCCTCACACTGCTTGCTGGCCTGTTCTGCCATTTGAGCATTCTCTTTGCGGATGGCTTGTTTTTCAGCTTCGCACTTGGACCCGGCCTGGGTGATAGATTGGTCCTTGCCATCCTGGCACTTCTGCAACATCTGGGAGGCAAAGGAACAAAGTAGGTGAATGAGAAGACCTAGGCAGGATATTTAAACAACAGATAGCCCCGAGATAATCCAGAAGAATCAACCAACTCCTACCTCACATTTTCTACACTAATACTATAGAATTATCTCTCCTCCCTACTTTTATACAGTATTATTCTTCTTCCTGGTAGTCGCGAAACGGACGATCTTGGATCCTTGAATTCTGAAATACCCTCACGGGCTCACTAAGATGTCTATCTATATTTAAGTAGGGTAGGTTTACATGCTAATATATATTTGATTCTTGATTGCCCAGTGTAGTTTATTAGTTAACTATAGGTAGAGAGATTATCAATAGAGATACAGTAACAGTTAACTAGAGATGGAAAATCACTAAATTAGGGCTAATTTAGTAATTGTATCCATACTGCGGTTCATTTAGTCGAGAGTAGTGAAAAAGGATACCCGCTTTTGGACGAGAACATAACAAACAAGGGGACTTTTCGGCACTTTCACAGTCAGTCTTGATGAGATTAGATTTGATCCACAGGGATTACCCCATACAAACCCTGTGGGCCATTCAGATAAATTCTTAGAGTTAAATCTATAGGAATTAACACGCGAGCTGATCAACTTTAAGTTCTTGATGCCCCAGTCTCCGCCGCGAACCTCTTACAATCTGCCATCGTACTTGCCTCCTCTTCTGTGATCAACATTTATTTTCTTTGTTCCGCGGAAAACATCATAGCCGCTCCTCGAGACAAATTAGACAGAATCAGGTTTCCCACTACAGCTATGTTTCGGCGCCCAAGAGAGACCGAGCCCGACAGGTTCTCAAAGAGACTTAGCAAAACACTTCAACCTCTCACTGATTCCTTGGGCGGGCTCGCAATGTGCTATCTGGGAGTCCTCATTGCCGTTGGGGTAATGTGCCATCTGAGTAGTATAACGGTAAACGTATCCTTTGCTCCTGCTAACCATTTTCCTATCTCTGTAGGCCTCTATGGTTGTGGTGCAGGACAATGACTACACAGCCGCCATTGAAAGGCTCGAGGGCGCAGGATTCAATCGAAGTGTTCCAAATCGCGCCCTGCCCCCAAAATTATGGAGAATCATCCAAACCCACAGCATATATACTGCAGTTACATGCATTAGAATCTAGTGATCATCTCCTCTCAGCCACTCGTCCAGCAAAAGCTCCTTCGCAGTTGGTCTTTCCTCCGGTAACCACCGCAGAGTCTTTCGTAAGAATCGGAGGAACAGCGCTTGACTATTTGTCTCAAGCCTGGATTCACGGCCTTCAAGAGATTGCTCTGGGATCTTCACAGAGCCCTTCCAGCTACCTACAGCTTAGGTGAGTTATTCGGAATATCTAAAAAGTGGTCAACTTTCACCCACCGTTCTCGTCCCAAAACCTGAGACTCTCTTTGCTTCTTCTCAGGAACTCAACAGGGGGCGGTCCTAGAAGAGAAATCATCTCCGCAATACGCTGAGCTTTCTCGGTCTCAGTCTCAAGGCTGACGGTTCTGAAAAGATGTCCTTGCTCAAACAGTGTCCATGCCTGTGAAGAATATAATTATTAGCTATGATAACGCAGTGAATAAATAGCCTTACCATCTGTCCCAAGCCCCATATATCGACCTTATTATCCCAATCCATACCTAACAATACTTCTGGGGCCCTATATACACTTGGCATAATGAGACCGGTTTGCTTCCCTTCAGCAAGTCGTGCCTCTCCAAGATCGGCGAGTATTGGCTCGCCGCTTGTCAAAGGCATTGCACGAGTGGCATAGATAGTACGATCAGGGAGCTGTTTTCGCGGGCAGGGATTCGAGATTTCATCCTCTTCCATTTCTGCAAGGATAGAGTTGTCTTCGATGCCTAAAAGGACATTGTTCGGTTGGACGTCTAGCATGAATTACTAGGAGCTATAAGCTTTGGTAGAGTTATTACTCACCCGTATGGATGATATTTGCTTGGTGGAGGTAATCCAGGGCAATCAGTACAAACCGCAGGGCAGGTCGAAGGAGATTTTCCGGTAAGCTATCTCCCTCAAGACAGTGCATATAATCACGTATATCAATACTAGCAGGCTTGTACAGGAGACATGGATGCACTCCGTATGGCCCAAGAATCTCAAACGTGTCGAGAATAAGCCGGACATATTGTTCACCGCCATGAGTGCTCTGCATAGCTTGTAGATGTTTCGAAATCACCACCTCGGGGAGCTGTCGTTTAGTTCGAACATGGACTTTCATGACCACATAACACTGATTACTTTGGATACGTCAGTGGATATATCAGATACTTTCTTACTTATGTTGCACACGTACTGAAGGTCCCGACATAGCCATACGGTCGACGATGAGCCAAAGCCGAGTTTAGTAATAACCTGATATCTGGATTTGAAAACTTCACCAATGTGAACTGGGTAGTAGCGTTCCTCTAAATAATCAGGAAGAGTTTCTTCCTCAAATGTGGCAGTCGAATCTAAGCGATAGAATCCCGAGTCAGGAAATACGCGTGGTTGCGACATTGGAACCGTGGCAATCTTCCTGCGCTGGGAGAGGGAAAAGAAATTGAATGGTGGATGTCTCAGTAGTGAAGCTAGGTATCTGCCAGCGCAGAAAACTGTGCTATACAACAGCCGGCCCATGACTAGCTTTTTGTTGAAAAGCGATGAAACAACTAGGTGTTATATGGACATACAGAGGTGACTGGCTGTTCGTGAAAACCGTGACTACCTACCCGCCCTAGTATTTTACCTAGGTGATAGGCGTATTTGGCGCAATCCCTTGCTTGATTGGCCTGCGCAGCTTCCGGACAACTATATAACATTTAACAATTAGTATTTACTATTCACTATACAATATTGTGTCTACCAATTAGCTCTATTTATAATAATCTTGTACTTTGTTAGTAAGAACGCATGTCCAAGTAAGTCCATTCCAACTAGGCCAAAAGGTCACCCCTCACAACACTCAGGCCATTTGCCTACAAGGGTACAATGGTTCTTCAATACATTCAAAGCCCAGGTTGTCAAACGGCAACTCTAGTAACTGACCAAGCATCGAGAAATTGGGATTATCCACCCCCGACCAGCTCAGAGGCACATCTGCCGTTGGGGAGCAGCTGAAAGGGGGGTTGTCGACATTGGAGTTCTCCATCAAGTGTGGAATATTATCAGACGAGTAGAGTCGGTGCACCCAAACCCAAACGACAATATTGCAGGAGTTGGATGAAATAGGCGTAATGGCTAAGAACACTTGAAAGGGAAGAGTAAGACTACCTAAGGCCAGCAACTACTGGAACGCTTTCTGCAGTCTTTTCTCTGGGGTACTGCACGAAGAATGTTCATACACTCGTTTCAGTAAAGCAACTGAGAAGAAAGAGGAAAAGGAAGAGCACCCTGGTCTATTATCAGCGTTCCCAATATCAATCGACTTCACTTATACCGGACCTATGTACATCACAGTAGATATTGTAGGATAGTTATCACTGAGAGCCCCCATTGTCCTATATGGAAATGCCTCGCCTCTCTACACCAAAGAAGTCCTCGGCATCGGCTAACCACCGCACCGTGCGATCCAGTACCTTGGCCCAGACTTTCCTCTTCGCTGCGTTTCCCTCATGTACCAAGAGTTCTAAAAGGTATTCTCCCCCACCACGAGGCCATACATTCAGCCTTGGCGGCTCTGGAGGATCTGCGCGGTTCAGCTTGATCAGGACGAGGGGAACATCGTGATCGGCTGTCTGGATCTGGGAATGGTCCTCAAAGTTCTGGAAATAAAAGACAGACCCATAAGCCGACACATCTCGCGGCCAATCCGTGCAATTTTTGACAATCTCTGATAGCCCGATGGCTTCATAAGCCACCGACTGATTGAATTGGGACTGCAGCGATTCCACGATTCTGTAATCCGTCACCGCTTCGCTGTCCGCGGCCGGGCTGCTCTGCTCGGGTAATTGGATCCTCACGGGGGCAAGATTCAGACACGGTCCGACAACAGTCTCCATATCGTCACCGGAAGACGGTACCACTGTGCGCCCTGATACTCCGCGACCGAAGACTATGTCATTCAGCCCCGCTGTGCGAGCGAGAGCAATGCCCCATGCGGCTGTAAAAATGGTAGCAACAGTAAATTTGTCCTTTGAGGTTTCATGTGAAAAGTGCACTGTTTGGCGCATTTGGGTTCGGGGACCAGGTTGCAATGTTTCCGGCGCTTGATTTGAGATTGCTGAGGTAGGAGCTGGGGCACCCTGCAGCTGGGCACGCCAGTGGGCGAAGGCAGCGGGTGGCGGTGAGAGCTTCATGAAGGTGGAAAAGTCGGATACGGGGGGCATAGGTCGATCGTGGTATAGGGTGCTGATGCACTCGGCCATATGGCGCAGAGAAATCGCGTCGTAAAGGGCGTGGGAGAGCCCTATCACGAGCCGCGTTTGTTGACTCTGTTCCGATTCAAGAATGAAGAAATTCACGAAGGACGAACCTGGGGCCACTTCCCTAACGAGGTCATTCATGCAAATCGCTTCGCATACCTGGTCCAGTGGCTCATCCCTGACAGTATGAACAGAGATATCAGGGTCGAAGCGGCGGAGGACGACCTGGATGTAATCTCCATCACCGTTATGCGGCAGAAAAACACACTGGAGGATCTCGATAGAGGAAATGAGTTGCTGACAGACGTTTCTTAGCTTCGTAGTGGCTGAAAGTTCTTTGAAGGACATGGAGAAATAGTTCCACTCCGTGCGAGGATTTTGGAGAGCACAACGAATAGTATATTGTTGAAAGTCTGTGACAGGAAGGATATCGGCTATCATTCTATCCGTAGTAGACAAGGATTTTGCAATCTCTGAGATGTCTGGAAGGTCTAGTGCTAGCGGAGACAGATAGCTACTAGTCTGTACATTATCCTCTGTCGTCAGAGTGATCTGGCATGCCATTTCATCGAGACGAGGATACTGAAAGATAGTAATGACTGATAGAGGCAGGTCTTTGGCGCGGGCAGTCCCGACCAGCCGAATAGCAGTAAGGGAGTCGCCGCCCACAGCAACCACGTCCAGTCTGCTGAGATGCACAACCAGGCTGTCAACTCGCTTGGCCTTCTCTCTGCACGCCAGACCATGGCAGCCGTTGAAGTCCTCTCCCTGATTGTGGCCAATGCACTCTACACAGCCTGCCAAGGTATAGATCTGCGAGCTCTCCCTCGCACCTTCATCGCTAGCCTAAAAGCCCCCGCCCGCAAGCTCATCATCACCGGTCTATTCGTCGATACACAGGACCCAGTCAGCAAGGACCGTTTCTTCACCACCTTCTGGAAAGAATTCGAAGAGGCCTGGTACGCAGCCGCAGCATATGATGCAGCTGAGCGCGCCGCAAAGGCCGCACAATCGCTAGCTGTCGCTGTAGTCAACTCGCAACACATTGCTATTATTCTGCCTGTTGAGAAGGTCACTGGTTTGACCAAAGCCTTTGAGTCCCTCATTCTACAGTCATATCTGCAGCACCGCGATGCATTTTTCAAACAGCCCTCCACCGCCCAGTATCTGGGACAGGGAACCCGAATGATCTACCGCTTTGTGCGGGAGAAGTTAGGTGTACCGCTCCACCGCGGCCTCGTCGAGCATCCCGTGGCTGGGGACCAGGAAGAACGTCATCGATGGTCGTCCGAAGAAGACCATCGGATCCTGGGTCTCGATCATTTATGAGGCAGTTCGCGATGGGTCCCTGTATGCTGAGGTGTTTCAGTTTCTGGACGCGAGTGGAGGCATTGCCAACGGAGTGAAGGTCGCCAATGGAACGAAGGTCTCCAACGGGACAAACGGGCAGTGTGACTTATTGAACTAGCATTAGTGTCTTGGTAATCGAGCTATGACAAGCTTATAGTAGTTCTTATTCTTCGTAAAGTATAGCGGAGTTAATAGTTATTAGCCTAGTAGGCTATAACAGAAGAATATACCGTTATCGCAAATGGCAATCACCCCAAAGGGCAACATATTAACTTCCTCTCATTCCAAGGGGTATCATGGATATTCCAGTATTGATCTTGAGTTCGTATTCTGGCGAGGGTGAGTTAGGGTTTAACCAACTCCGGTGTAGATTGCGTCACGGAACTGGCCGCATATCACGAGACTCGGTGTGCATTATAATTTATGAACCATGACCACGTCTAGAACATGGAGTCAAATAGATGATCTCTGTCTCCCGATATTAAGCCACGGTTATAGCTATGTTTCGCCACCTCCAGGCAACCTTTTCTTGATCTGCTAAAGCGTTCGCACGGATGGGCTAGAATCAGTCAAACAATGAATTGAGTTTCACGGTATCTAGTGGACCAGAGCCAAGATCATGAGACTGATCAGTATGAACACTTCTCGTATCAAGACCCTGATTCTCATGGCTGTTAGTGGCGTCATACCATTACCCCAATGTCGTGAATCCGTGATTGGAGGCGGATAAGCAAAGCGAAGCTTTTCTCTCCCGGGTCTGGGCCATTCGGTACGAACTCTTGGTCTTTACAGCGGGAACCATATCCGATTGCAGTAGATGGTTCGTATGCATAGGATGTCAGTCAGGATATAAAATCCATCATTTTGTTCCATGACACATTAACATGGTATTGCTTTGTCTTGAACTGACCGGGAAAACATATGGATATCTTTGAAATTGATATATTTGAAATTATCTGCCCGCCTTCAAACCCCTACGTCCTTTAAATTTCAGTATCAGGATGATATTGTTGTACAAGTGTCTTATCTTGCAAATCTCTCTGGCAACATGGGCTCTCGGCTCTCCAAATGTGGTTAAGATGGACTTTTCACGGGGCACGCGAAGACAAACTGCTTCGAACAATGGCTCCTTTGGTGTCCAACTAGGGAACTATATACCGGCGGGCCTGTATTACGTCAATGCTTCCATCGGCACCCCAGCGCAAGTTGTCCAGTTGCAGTTAGATACTGGTAGCAGTGATGTCTGGGCTTTTGGGGTGCATTCCTGTGACCTCAGAACTTCTTACTGTCTGGGCGGTGCATGTAAGTTTCGAACTTGACTTATATTTATAACTGCGCGCGATCACTTCCTTTTGCTTGGAAGCCGCTAACATCCAGTCTCTTCCAGATAATCCAAATCAGTCAAGCACTGCGACTGTAATAGCCGAAGGAGCCTTCCAGATATCTTATGTTACCCAAGGTTCAGGAGTGGAAGGTAACTGGGTTAAGGATGACTTTTCTGTTGGTAACATAACAATTAAAGGCCTTGATCTGGGAGTAGCAACCAGGGCGCAAGGTGAAAATACGGGTATTATGGGCATTGGGTTTCCATCGCATGAATCAAACAGTACATTGTATCCCAACTTCGTGGACCAAATGGTGGCGCAGGGTTTTACGAAGAGTCGTTCATACAGCCTGTGGCTCGATGATCTTAGTATGACCTCTGAGCCATCACATACGGCTATAAGCCTGCTAACTAGGAGCTAGATATGAGCACCGGGAGTGTGCTTTTTGGTGGATACGACTCTGACAAATTCCACAATGAAC